AAAATGCTCCGACTTGCATCCATCTAAAAAAAATAAAGATTAATTTAAAGAAGAGAACTAAAATTCTTGTTTACCGAATACACATTTCTTCAGTTGGTGTTTTATCAAATCCACAAATATCAGCTCCATTATATGGAATTCCAAACCAATTAAATTCTATCATTCCAATTATTGATCGTTTCATTTCATGCCATGTTGCTTCATTATCTCCAAGCCAATGACCAGCCCATTGGCCTGAGCCAACAAATGTTGACCGTGGTAAAACTAAACCTCTTTTATTAGTTATTTTTTGAATGACATCTAATGTTGGTTTTGTTTGACTCCATCCGTAAAGACTATATAAAAAAGAAAATAACAAATAATGAATTCAATAAAAAATTTTGTTACCTATGAACATCATAGTGTCGATATGTTGCTTTACTTGTCATTGAATTTATTTCACCTTGATGAGCAGACATACATAAAGTACGATCAGAAAGACGACTTGTTCGATTTATTTTCCTATCCCAACGATATACAGCTTTAGTACGATAGGGTGGATCTTCCCATTCATTTTTAGGACATTTTAATGTGTAATTATTTTCTGTTTCTAGCCAATTCCATGGTACGGGATCATTCGTTTCAAATAAAGCTAAATAATATATTCCAGCATACAAAACAAAAAGAAGAGATAAATACTAACCGGGTTCATTCATATCAATCCAAAGTCCATCAAAAGTTAAATTAATTGCTCGAAAATTTGTAATCCATCTTTCCCACCAATCTTGTGTTTTCTTAGTAAAAAAATCTATAAGAAAATTCGAATCTATTCAATAATAAAAATCATTTAATCAACCTGGAAAAAAGACTGGTCCAGGCCAAACAGTTCCTCTCATTAGACTTCCGTTATCCCATTTAATAAAAACATCTTCTTTAATTCCTTCAACAGTTGGCGCATAATATTTTTGATCATCAACCATTCCAGGATCCAAAATAACAATTGTTTTAATTCCTTCAGAATTTAATTCTTGAAAATATTCTTTTAAACCTTGATAATTAATTGGATCAATAGTAAAAACTTTTTTAGCATCCATATAATCAATATCAGCGTATTGAACATCAATTGGAACACCAGCATCACGATTACGTTTATTAGTCATTTGCATATGTGTTAAATTTGAATAATCCCAACGTGATAATTGAAAACCAAGTGACCAATAAGGTGGTAAAAAAGAACGTCCAACAAGCCATGTATATTGTTGAATGACTTGTTCGGGATTTGGACCAAGAAAAATAAAGAAATCTAATATACCGCCAATTGTACGTATTGTTAATGACGGTGTTGATTCAAATGAATAATCCATAGCATTTGAATTAAGTAAAAGAACGCCATGCATACGACCTGATGGAATATTATTTAATGTTTGTTCCATAACAATGTAAAGTGGATGATGACCATAATGATTAGAATTTGTATCCCAATTAGTCCCTAACGTAAAAAAAAACCCTATGTTTTTCTTTTGTCGAATTTTAATGAAATGATCAACCTTGATCACGAGCAAATACTCCCCAGGATGATCTTTCGGGAACATTATGTTTAAGTGTATCATGATTATTTTCTCCAAAACCATAAATATGTGATGATTGAAGTCGTGTTATTATTTGAAGAAATTGATTATTTAAAACAAGACCTCCAAGTGATGTATCAAATAAAATTGATCCATCTTCACGACGTTTAATAAAAAATGAAATAATATTATCCCGCGTACTATCTGATGAATAATTAAATTCATATTGTGGTGAATCAATTTTACCCGAAGACGAAGCTAATGGAATTGGAACCTGAATTAACAAAATATTAAAATCAGCTTTTGGTAAAACGCTATCTAACAGAAGTATTGAAATATATATGGTAGAAATTTGCAACCTTCTTCCCTCCCGTCATAGACCATGATAGATGAGATCGACAGACCATAACAGATACGTTAGAACCGGCTCATCATAGACATGACAGACATTTTAGCAACGATGCATGACAGATGTAATAGATACTTTCGCAACCCTGCGCCTCCTCCATGTCACAGACCATAACAGACGTTGTTGAAAAATGATCAAAGACCGTATATCAATAATGCCCTCTTAGAATAAATAAACTACTCTCTTATTGCATTTTTTGGAGGATCAGATCAAATTAGAGGATGATAAAGAAATGTGTTCCAAAATAGATGAACAGCATGGCCAAGAGTTATAGAATTTCATTTTGTTTTTACATTGTAACATCTATTTTCTCGTCCATGGTAGAAGCAAATTATATGAAACTTTTATTAGAGATAGAAACCATTCAGATCTACTATCAGTAAGAATTTTATTGATGCTCCTGTAACTCGAGCGGAACTATTCCGAAAATACTAAATGCTACAAAATTTTAAAAAATTGAAATTTATTTTTAGTGGAGCTGAGAGTTTAGCATTTTACTACGAAACGAAGCGACAATACAAACAAACTTTCTAACTAAAAGCTGTCCAGTTTCAAACAAGCTTTTAGAATGTCAGGTCATTTGCTAACAAGCACAACTACATCGAATAACAAACTAAATATAGTGTTCGTTACGGAATTTTCTTCGTTGTGAACTTTTATTTTTTTTTTCGAAAATCGCAACTTGAATCAGAATGAAAGCAAAATCGTCAAAAGAAATCAGCTATTCGTCATCAGCATCGGATTTTGCATTAAATGGTGTATTTTTCACCAGAGTCCAACGAAAATAATTTTTCAATTTTTTCGACCCGTGAAAAATAAAAAGTTGAAATTTTGGTTAACGAAATTATCCATCTCGTTCAGAATTTGATCTTAATTCCAAAAATGTGAATACTTATGAACAAAAGCAGTGGAAGATGGTTGATCATCTAAAAATACCACAAAATTCGGATACTAATAAAATTCCGTAACAAAGTATTTCTAAAAAATATATGCAAATACTAAATCAAACGGTGCTCGAATTGAGTGTGCGTTTGGTATAGATTCTTGAATTCAATCTGAATATGCTGTTTTAGCTGCGAAAATTACTAATACAAGCAAGCAAAATACACTATAGACGTGTGTCGTTACGAAATATCATGAAAAATAGAAATGGTTTGAACGAAGATCATTTTCTATTATATTTTACACAAATTTTTGAATTGTTCACTCTAAGAAAGATTTTGTGTATTTAGAACACTCAATGCAACAGTAGATTCAGCCTTTTTTCACTTTTAAGTTCGAACTCTCCTCATGTACGGATGATCAATGGTTGGTCATATCGTAGAATAAAATAATCTCTTGGTGATTATGAACACTATCTACATCGTGTGTCCCATTTTAATTCCATAGGGATTTCTCTAATAGTTCATTTGTTCTATTTTTACTTCGTATCTTTTTTCATCAGCATCATATAATTTAAATCGAATGATATCATTTGTATAATATTGAATTTCAAGTATAACATTTTCTATAGGTCCTGGAAACATGCTATCTATTGCTTGATTTCTTTTTAATTGTAATTTTAAAGTATTATTTATTTCTGCTGTAGAATTTTGTAAGATGTATCCATAATTAGATGATAAATAACATTGAATTACAGATGAATTAGCTTCATCATCATATAAGCAATTTCGTGCTAAACATGATTCTTTTGAATAATTCGAAAAGGGAGATTCGACTTCAGGATAACAATTAATACGTGGATTTACAAATGTTGTTTGATTTTGTTTAAATTCTGGTTTGTGAGAAGTAATAACGGCTGCAGTTGTTACAAGAAAAATTATAGAACAACTTATTATGATAGTTGGATTTAAACCCATTTGTACAAGACAAACGTAGAAACTATAGAAAAAAAGAATATAAAATGAAATGATTGTATTCATATTGTTGTAAAACAAGAGAAGTATTATGTTATGTGTATAAATGTAGAGAAAAACATCGAATATATATATATATATTAATAGGAATGATAACCAATGGATTTGCTCTTGAAGTAGCCAATGTGAAACATGAAAATAAGATATTTGTTTCTCTTTTAGGTTTATTGTGTATGCATTTTTCAATAGATTACTTTCAAAGAAAAGAACAGTTGATTCGATTGGAACTTAAAAACCCTTTAAAAGAATTACTCGCATATAACTTAAAAATATTGACGCAATCATTAGTATCTTTTAGGAATGGAATCATTACAAAAGTTTGGTTTATACTCTAGACAGTATTAAAATAATACATGTCATTGTACGATTTTATTTTCGAATAATAATTGTCAATAAATGAATATTAGTCAATAAAAATCAGAGATTCACTTTGAATCTGAATCCTTCTATTTTACTCATTTTGATGCATCAAATGTTAATAGTTTATAGGAAGCCGTAATCTTTAGAAATAAGCAAAGCAGAAATGATTGATGAATATATACCTGAATGTATTGTACGGATGCCTTTAACTTGTTTATATGTTATTGAGTATAAAGCACAGAATGCGTTCGTTTCGTCTTTTTGTTAAAACAAATTGAAAAATGAAATCGAAATATATATTCGATGAGATTCCCGCATATCATTGTATGATAAGAAAATGCGCATTGTATTTTCTCTTAAGCGTGAAGTAGAATTGATAAGACATTAATCGATATTGTAAAACAACCGTATCAAATATTTTATTCATACAAGTTTTATTTTTATTTTTATCTCTCTCGACTCTATTTTCGAAGATCAACTAAGTACGAAAATTTTGCGAACTGTGCTTCTTTTTTTTGTTTTTATTTTTGCTAAATAAAAGAAGTTAATAATATTAACATAATACATAAAGCTAATACTATTTTTAACATAATGCTTTTTTTTTTGTATATAATGGCAAATAAAAATATAAAATAAAACAAAGAAATAAAGTAAACCAAAATGTCATTTTCTTTTGTTTCTAAACCCTTCTTGAAGAAAACAATCAAGACTTATCACCGAAGAATACAATAAACAAAATGCTGCGAAAGTAAAATAGATATTGAAAGACTAGATACATTCGAGTGAAAGAGTTTTATATGAAATTTCATCAATTTTAACAAAAGTTTTCTCTTTGAAAGAGAACATATATACTTCTCCTTCTGATATATCTGTCCAAAGCGCATGTACTTCTAATTCATTGCGATTGAGTCGTTCTTTTAAAAATGGATACGAAAGAAAATTTTTCAATTGTTCTAATGTATTTATCTGAAAGAAATAAAAATTTATTTTCTTTTATATTGAAAAGAATTTAATTTTACTTGAGAAAATTTATCTGAAGGTTTAAATTGATTATGAGGATCAATATATGCTTCAAAATCATCTTCATAGTGTTGTGCACCAGCAAATTTAAGTTTTCGATCAAAACCAGTAGACATTTCAAGTTTTTTAAATTGTTCAACTGTGCCTCGTCCATGAACTCTAAGCCAGTCTTCAAGTGGACCTTTTGATGGCGATTGTAAATCATTACGTATTGAATAAAGTAAATTCATTGCTTTACAATCAGAATGACCAATAACAACAATAACTTGAACTTTATTTATAGAACAAGCTAATTCAAGAGCTCCACATTCACCCCCAACTGTTACATGATTTCGAAAACAATTATGATGAGGAACTAAATTACCTTTAAAATAAAAATATCTATTATCAAATAAACCAATCAGAATAAAAGAGTATTTAGTACCAGGATTTCGAACTATAAATAACTGACCAGGTACAGCTTGAATCATACGCGATGCAACAACACGACTGTCAACACAAGTTAATAGAAGACCTTCAGGCTAAATATTAAAACTTTTCTTATTTGTAATAAAAATTAAAACAACAAAAAGATATCTTACAGAAGGTCCTGTTGCTACTTTTTTAAATTCTTCTAAAAGCGATGGTCGTAATGTTTGACGATATTTCACTATGCCATCAAGAATTCGACTCATTCCTTTGCGTGTTGCAAATGAAGAAGCCATCTTTATTTCGTCTTTTTAATTAAATCTGAAAGAAAAAGAGTTTAATATTTGATGCCTGATGAGAAATCAACATAAAAACATAAGATGATTGTTTGAAAAAGAAAACAAAAAGGGCAAAAATGGTATATCCATTATGATGTTAGAAATCATAAGCATCATCTATGATCATTGCAAATGATCTAACTGGTGTTGAACATAAATCATAAAAAAATGAACTATTTTCTGATTTTAATTCAGATACATTCTTCCATTCATTTATAAATAATGCTTCACGATATTTTGATAACGGCTTTTTAATATATTCGAATGTCTGTTGACATTTTTTTTTTGATGATCAAAGTAATTTTGCTCATAAATTATAATCTGTTATCCCAATTCATTCAGGACGATTATCATAATTGTAATCGTGAGCACATTTTAAATTGGATAATTCATTATTATTATTATATCGATCGATTTATTGTTGGTTGGATGGATCAAAAGTTCTTATAGCTAAGGTATCAAGTAACAAAGATTCAACTTGTGATATAGTTGATGAAATATGATCTTTATTAAACACTTCATTAAATTGTAGAACAGATGTTTTATTTACGTTAACAAAGATTTTCTATTTCATCTATACGTATGATAACAACTGCAATAATAAAATTTGATATCAATTGATAATCTATCCATATCAATGTTGAATTCATTGTATCTTTTTAAATATGTAATGTACTAATATATTGGCATTGAGTAGTATTTTCATCAATTCAAAATTTTTCTTTCAAAATCATTCTCAATTTTTGTAACGAATTTTGAAGAATTTGTTTTTTTCAGTTCATTATACAGATAAAACTTACATGAATATTCTCCTGAATTAAAAGTTTCTTTTTTTCAAAAATATTTATCGCGTACAAGACTATTAATGTAAAGTCTATTAATGAATGCAGCATCAAATGTTGCATCAAATGTAAATAAGGTACTTAAAATATAAAAATTTGAATTTATTTCTTGAGCATAACCTACTAAATACCTTACTATAAAAAAAATAATTTTTTAATATTTTCTTCTAAATACTAACATGAGAAATACATAATGATGTTGAATGACAATAATCAAATCTTGCTCCATGAAATATTGTAGTTATTAATCTTGCACATTTTTTCACATATACTAAAAAATATGATGAATCTGTCTCATAACTATCAAAATTTAATATAACAAGATCAAACCATTGAAAAAGCTATTATTAACATCGATTTATGTAATTTTGCAATATCATAAACCAAATCTTATTCATCTTGAGATTGTTTTAGTTGATTTAAATAAATAAGACGATTAAGTTGAATGTCTTTCGACTGGCATAAGCAAATATTTCAGGAACTTTTTTGACATCAATTCGATCAGTGTAGCGATTATATACTTCGTAATAAATAGGAAATGAGTTTTTTTCTTTTATATTTCGATATTGATGTTCATGGAACTTCATTTAGAATTAATCAAACAAATTCATTAATTGGCTTTTCTATATCAATCATATAGAATTCATGTATTACATATCAAGATTATATTTCATTCAGAACAACATCAACATCAAGCAAAAACACCTATCTTTAAACGAGGTTAACTAGCAAAATTATACGAAATTTCGGAATGTTTTCCAAGTATAATACAATCATTAGCTGTATGAATATAAACAACACCTGTTATGAAAAAAAAATTTCCATTGGGAACTCTTTTTTGGGTCTTATGTACCGCCTCTATTTATATGTTTATTTGTATATTTCCTACTGATGACATAAAAACAACATGTAGACTTATTCCATTTCTACTATACTCCCCTGAGAAGACTTATGCATTATCTTTAATGATCAGATACCATTTTTTTTGCAAGCGTATGTAATAAGATGTCTTTAGAAGATAATTGTTATTAAAATATTAAGTAATGAAATAGATATTTAACTGCGTTATAAGTTTCAAGTGTTGTTGAACTCTTATTAGAACAAGCAAATACTAATGAATTTAGAAAATCTTGGTCGCAGAAGGAGTACTGTATTAAAGGTTTGCATCGATCTTAAAGATTTATGGACCTACGCATATTCTTGAAAAAATTTGCATAATGGTATACTTTTAACTGATCCACTTGCTTGGTAATTGATTATGGCAGGTTAGACTTATATACTTTAGAAAATTTTCCGCTGATATTTTCATTTCAGATCTATAATGTCAATTGACGCATTTCAATGTTCCACTCAGACTTTTATTCATCTATATCTAAATTCTTCTTTTGATTCTTTTTTATTTGTTACCAACAGGAAAAAGACGTACTTTTGTACTTGAAGTTAATGTGATCTACATTGCGATATTTAAAGCTTACTTTGATGTACTTAAAGCTAACTTTTGCGTACTTTATGGTACTTTAAGCTACTGCAAGCTACCTCCAAACTTCAAATACTGAAGTACTTCGACGAGCTTTGATCTACTATTGTTTATTTAACGTACTTTTTTACTTCAAGTACACCATTTTTCCCTAGTTTGTTACTGTCTTTCCATTTTTCTATATGTACTGCCGGCGTCTGACCGCTATCAATGATCGCAAAAAAAGAAAAATTTTCCATTTGTTAGCCATTTTGTTGAAAATATTATCACGTGTTGTATCTTGATCAAATGATGGATTAATTGATGATGATATGGTATAGAATTTGATTAATTTCATACTTTATATAATTGCAGCATGCTGTAAAAAAAGCTTCAAATAATAAGCCATTTGTAGAGTTTATTGTTTGTTTTCATAAACTTTTGAAGTTTTTATTATCTTTATAGCTGTGCAAGGGTTATGGAAACTTGATATGTGCTTTATAGGCTGATAATCTTTTGTACGGTTTATTATTCGAAGCTTTTTTTTTTTACAGTGTATCGATGAAATTCTAATTACTATGATAAACAATGGCTAAAAGAGATTCTCAATCTTCCATTCTCCTTAATAAGTTTCATAAATTTAATTAAACATATGATTTCATTGGAATCACCAGTAGGTGAATTTGAAAGATAAGGCTCAACAACAAAATAGCTTTTACCTTGTTTGTTATCTTTTGCTTTAAAATAATAATGAACAGAACCAAAATGTGTACAAAATATTTGTGCAAAATGATGTTCATTTTCTCAATGATCATGTTAATTGATGATCAACATTAAGTTTGAAATTTAGTCAATAACAATTACGAAAAAGTTTCACATCATAAGATATTAATGGCAATAAGAATGTTAAATGGACGCATGAATCACAGATAACATAATATATTCTAGATGAAGTTAAAGGTACATTTGTATCAAGAACAAACCAATGCAAACATACAGAAATAGAAGAAGTTCGTTCAAGAGTAATAAATCTACAAGAAGAAAAACATAGAAAGAAATTAATCGATTAATATATTTTTCATGTCAAATATGATTGGATTATTTTGTACGACAAATCAGAAATTTACTCAATAAAATGGAAATTAATTTAGAAGAAAAATATTAAAATATCAAATTATATTAATTGTAGTTCAGTAAAAAAAATAATACTAATAAATTTAATTGAAATGAAATTGAAGCGACATCTAATGAAAAAAAAGAGTATCATACTCATTATTCACGTCAATATCTTGACAACCGATTGTGAAATGGTTTCGTTTAAATTTTCATATTCAAAAACACTTTTTACAAAATTTCCCTAATACTAATATATTAGATAATTGAATTGCAAAATACTCTAAATTAAAATAATTTGGGAAATAATAAGTACTCCATTCAGTTATATGGCAGCTTTTTTGGAACTGCGTCGCAATGCTGATCAAATTCTTGTTGAACTTGAACATTTAGCAAAGTACTATTTATTTATTTATTTATTTCATTTTATATAAATATTTATCTCGTCAAATTTTTAGAGAAGCTGAATACGTTCGAGAACATGAGAATAGAGCTGCTGTAATTATTCAATCAGCATGGCGAGGCTGTTGTGTTCGATCTCATATTAAGTTAGTGATTGAAATTTTTATTTTAAATATTAAATTTATCTTTACAGATATTTAAATCGATGTGCTACTCTTATTCAAACATGGTGGCGAATATATAAAGCTAAAGTGTTATTTCGACAAAAACTTAAAGTATAAAAATAAAAATTTAATAAAATTTCTATTAATATAATTGTTTAGGAACATGTTCTTCAGCTTCGACTAAAATATTATGATGATAATGCAGTAAAAGTAAGAGTATTTTTTATTTTGTTTTAGTAAAGCAAACCTTTTTTTCCTTTGCATTTAGATTCAAAAAATATGGCGTGGATTTTATGTACGTAAATATGTACTTGATTTTTACAGTCGAAAACGATATCTTGCTGGACTTGAACAAAAGAATGAACAAATTAGGTAGATTTTTTTCTTTTCTCCAAATGTTTTAAAAAAGATCTTTCTCTCTTTAAATTAGAACACAATTACGTGAATATCGAGAATATTTAGACCAAAAACAACTTGAACAACAACGACAAGCAAATATTGCAAAGTTAGAAGAAGAAGCTAAAAAAACGCATTATTTAGTTAGTACTAAAGTTGTGCCTGGTATATATAACTCAAAATATTTAGAGTAAAATACATTTTTCTTAAATTATTATGATTATGAGAGAAATTATTTGACGTAGAGCTCCGAAAGAAATGGAAATTATATTGAGAACTACAAAATTTGAACTGCCAACAACAACAATGAAACCAATTAAGAGTAAGAAAGATCAAGATATTGCAACATTAACAAAATTTTTGCCACCACTCAAATCGAGGCCACAAGTAAGTTTCTTTCCTTTTCTTATTCTGTATGAAATGTAACATATTGAAAAATAATTAGGGTCCTTTTCGTGCACCAGAAGACGTTCGTTATCAACGTTATCGTCCATTAAAACCGTCGTTACGATGTGAAACAGATTATTTTGCAACAGAAAAAATGCGGGAAGAATTGAAACTTCAAGAATGGGTTGATCGAATTCA